GAAAGTGGAACTTTGCAGTTATGTCAAGGGTCTACCTGAGGTCAGGTGAATAGTCTCCCTGGTCTTAACATACACTCATGGTTATCTATCTCTGAATCAAAACTCAAGCTGTCATTATGCAACATCACACAAATATTTTTCCAGTAGGGAGAACAAATTTACACTCATCTACTCATTCTCTCTTGTCAAGGTTCCTCATAATCTGTTTCATGAAACTAGAAGCCAATTGTTCCAGTTCAACCATACAGTTTGTAGACACCAAGGGGAACAAAACAAATGGAACTATGTAAGACCCTTGGGTATTTAATATGATGTCGTACACATCTCCTTCCCCTAAAGCCCACACACACACACAAAAAAAAGAGTTAAATTTCTCTCTGAAATTAGTATGGATTTATATGATTGTCTAGCTTGGCAAGAATGAGAATTAAGCTTAGGTTAGGAACATAATGTTAACTTTTATTGTGTTAAAGATTCCTTGTTGATAATTGTCCTCAAGTCAGTCTGACTCATGGTAACCCCGTGTGTGCAGACTAGAACTGCTTAAAAGTTTTTTTATAGGTGAGACCTTTCAGAGGCAGCTCACCTAGACTGTCTTCTGAGACTCCTCTGAGTGGGCTCAGACCACCAACTTTTCCGCTAGTAGTCAAGTGTTTAACCATTTGCGCCACCCAGGGACCTAAAATGACCTTCAAGTTTGAGGTGAAGTATTGTGATTTGTGAGAGTGATGTGTATAACCATTGCCAGTCAGGTAGGCTAATGACTGTTATGGCTTTAGAATGAAAGAAGAATAATGGCTGGGAAATTCTAAAAAGGGATCAGTGATGCCAAACATTCAGCTTAGCCAACCTGGAAAAGGCATTGTTATCCAAGACAGAGAGCTCATCAGGAGTCACTGCTGGCAAAGCCTTGCAGTCACTGGTGAGACAGGGTCCAAGTGCCCAAAACTAAAAAAAAAAACAAACTCACTACTGTCAAGTTGGTCTTGACTCATAGCAACTCCTCCTTGGGTTTCCAAGGCAGTATCTCTACAGAAGTAGATTGCGCAGTCTTCCTTCCAAGGAATGGCCGGTGGGTTTGAACTACCAGCCTTCTGGTTAGCAGTCAGCTGCCTTAGGTACTGCGCCACCAGAGCACCTAAGTGCCCATGGGGCTTAAAACCAATGTGGAAGTCCAAGCCCAGAGAAAAGTTTTGATTTTCCAAGAATTGAGGGAGCTGAGACAAAGAGTTCAATTTATCCCACTGGGAACCAACTTCATAATGAAGCAAACAAGAATATTTATCTAGATAACTTATAGCAGAAACTAACCTGAAGGAGAATGAAGAGAGAAAACCTAGAAGGTTCTTTGAGACTTGGCCAAATTAAACAACTTAAGTTCATGTACCTGTGTTCTATATATAATATGCAGGCTGAATTTCTTTACTCTGAAGTAAAATTAACCCTGCTTTTTAAATATTGAGCAAATGCCATTAACTGTAAGTGTCTTTGTGGGAGGACAGCACAATCAGAGAAAGGAAAGGTCATAAATTCCAGGAGTTTGGTTTCTGGAGCACATTTTATTTTACAATTCTGAAAAATTAACATCTAGCAGCAGCATAATGCAACACCAAATTATTGAAAACTCATAATGGGAAATACGTCTTTTGCAGACAGTAAAAAACAGATGATTTAGAGACTAGTTGATAAAAATGTTTTTAAAAAACTCAGAATTCTTATTTCTTTACTATCACCATCAAGAACAATTATATCATACATAAGGGTACATTCACTTTACATTCCCAAAGTGGTCTGTCATTTTTTATTTTCTATAAAATATGTCTGAATTCATATATGTATACCCCCACATACACACACATATATGTATGTATGTATATGCATAAGTTCACATTATTCTGGAAGGTAAGAGAAATCTTCATATTTATATAGATCACTTAAAATAATTAAAACATTAACAACAGCAACACTGGCCTTTAAGTATGTATAATATTAGAATAGATTGTCCATACAATGTAGATATATTTAATATATCTTTCATTATTATTATCTACTACCCACATACAATTTACAAACTCCATGGTCCTGGTTCATCCCCAAATAACTTAGAATCTAGATTCAATAAATACAAAGAATAATTGTAAAACACAAATTGTAGAACATTTTCCAGATCAGAGAAGCCAAAAGGTTTTAGGGAAGACTCGGATTTGAAAAAGGTTTGAAAGCATACAGATAATCTGAAAGGTTCCCAAGGCAAAAAGGAGTGATCTGACAAACTCTCTGAAATGTGAGGAACTAAGTCCAGAGAAATGTGTTAATGAGAGAAGAAGGCACTGCCACCTCTTCATGGTTCCTTGTTTCATTTGAGTATGGCATTAAAGAGATGTTGTTGTTGTTGTTACGTGCTGTCGGGTCGGCCTTGACTCATAGAGACCCCTCCTTGGGTTTCCGAGGTGGTATCACTACGGAAGTAGATTGCCTAACCTTCCTTCTGAGGAGTGGCTGGTGGGTTTGAACCGCCAGCCTTCTGGTTGGCAGTCAAGTGCCTTAGGCACTATGCTACCAGAAACGCCATTAAAGAGATGAGCAATTGGAAAAATTTCCAATGAACAGAGGGTAGAAGTATTTCTTGCCAAAAGGAAAGACACTACACCAGGTGGTCCAGATTTATTTTTCAGCATTTACATGTTTTTCTGTTGGCTAAAGGCATAAAAACTGAGATTTCAACAGGACCTTGTGTACTTAAGTCCATCTAGTAAATTATACACATTGGTTGGCAGAAAAAGTCTTTCTATCCCCATTCCCAACAAGGCACTGGCCCAACCTGCTAATCTGGATGGGTTGAAAAGAAACCCCAAACATGGTAACCAGGGTTTCCTCACACCTGGACAGAATTGCCCTTGCAATTGTGTGTCCCCCTGCCCCCTCCTTTCTTTCTTTTTCTTTTTTTTTTTTTTTTTTTAATATTTTGAAGGTTCTCCAGAAAAGATAAATGCTTACATCTCACAAAGGTGTTGGACCTATGTTTGCCTTATAATACTACTACAATTTGACATTTCTGTAGTTTGTCCCCATTTTCAAACTACTTTGCATACTATTTTCAGTTGTTTCTCACACAAAAAAAAAATTGTGAGGAAGCCAGGATAGGCGTCCAAGTCCTTGCTTACAAAGACCAGGAAAAGTGAGGCCCATAGAGACCAAACTAACATAATATATCCATGGTCACTAAATCCTCACTAAAGAACTAGAAAGGATCTTTTGCAGAACTTGGCACTGTACAGTAGTTATTTATTTTTAACAACAGGGATTTGGTAGTAGTTGTTTCTAAAGACTAAAGGACTTTGAAGGGGCTAAAACAAGAAAGGAAAATGAATTCAAGAGAAGAAGAAAGGGAGAGACAAGTGGTGCCAGTTGGTATCATGAATTTAAAAAAAAGCAATTAAAGTGCACTTCACATGTAGAACACACATTTTCAAAAAAATATTCAAATACTTCAGTCTTCCAAACAGTCACATTTTGGCATTGATAACTACGTCTTTAAGTAGTTACTGAGGCAGATAATGAAACATAAGATCATCAAGAAATTTTTATGTAAGTTCCACCATTTCACGAAAGACTGGTAAAAATATTATAAGCAGGCAACTACTCTCCAATCTGTTTTCAGAAGCATCTCCCTGGCCCATTCCATCTCCAGCACAATACAGAGACATTACAATAAATATCTATTTGACTCTTTGGGTAGTTTTCTAAGGTGTGGTTTTGATAAATTATTAATGAATATTCTCACCATGTCCTTAGGAAGAAAAGATTTTTCTCTCTGGATCTAAGCTGAAAAAAACAGAAGATTACAATGAACTTATAGCTTTTAAAACTTTAAATTTGGATTCCATTTGGATAGTTGCCAGGAAAATAAGAAAAAAAATTAAATGACCAAAACATTTAATTTAGAAAGTGGTCATATTTCACATAACTTTTTCAAGAAAATTTGGAGAATTCTCAGGTTGATAGTTCCATAAAACAAAAGGATACTAATTCCACAGAAAGGATTACATTGTAAAGAACCTGACTAAAGTGATAATCTGAGAAACAGACGACTTAACTTCAGTGTTCTAAGATATGACACTTTGAACTATTAGTCAGTTCTTATTTGTATCAGTCAAGGTGTTTTAAAGAAGCAGCTGAGCTAAAAATGAAGCCATTCTTGACACCATTGTGAACATGATGCAAAACTTTGTATGAATCCTTTTCTTTCTCTTCACAAATCGGCTGTCTCAGTCTCCCTACCCAACCTCCACTGCCTTCCTTAACATTCATGTGGCCCACCAAGAGAGTGAGTCTCTCTGACCCTGAAAATTGAACAAGTGATGTATCAAGGAGTAAATTATGCTTTGGCAAACAGGAAATTAGATAATTTTTTTTGAGGTAGTCAGGTCTCACCTCCTAGTATCTAAGTGGTTAAGGGAAAAAAAAAAAAAAGAAAACTAGTTGAATTAAGAGACAAATGGAGTGTTTGTCACTGCACTTAAACACTATTCTGAAATGAGTGGTTCATATGGTTACGTGATTACCATATACTCAAAAAGCTTTTCACAAGAGTCTTGATTGTTATATAAACAATCTAAAGATACTAAGGTTGCTGTGTGATTAGAGTAAGCCACTGTATCTCGAGGGCATTTTGGAACTCATTACAACTTGGATTTAATTCTTACATGCTTTCTAAGAAAGTGCCTGGCATACAGTAGGTGCTCAGTAAATATCTAGCTGAGTGTTTAAGATCTGTGATTTAGCTCAGTGAGGTTACAAGTGAAAACAAATGTAAAAAAAAAAAAAAAAAAAAAATCAACTGTAGTGTAATGATCACCAAGATAGGCCATCTTCCCTTATGCATGGAATTTTAAACACTTTTCAAACTATGAAAGGATTAAGTTCAAATGGTACTAAGCCTGATGTTGTATACATCTTAACACTGTTAATCAGACACCCTTATTTTCATCATAATTTTACTATAATGATGGGACTGTGGGATTTTTATACATAAATACCTTTTCTGAAGACAAAGTGATCCATTCTCTTTGTTGTTCTTCAAGCTTTTCTGCTAAACATTTAATCAACACAGGGTCTACCTTAGAGTCAAATTTATTAGCAAACCAATGTCCATCTTTTATAAGCCACCTTAATTCTGCTGCTCCATAGATACATACACTTCGGAGGTGAGAGCCAGTACAACTGGGATAGAGAAGGCCTTCATGATAATTCCATTTGACAAGGCGGGTCTTACTCTGTAGGTCAGACACATCCTGTGCGGTCCTGGAAATCTCTCCAGGTATTCCTGGTACCCGAATTAAGGTTGCCCAAAAATGCTCATCAGGTGAGTATGTATCTTTAGACCAGACAATAAAGTCTTTAACGAGGGAACTGTTGAAAACATACTTAACAAATGGTCGACTTAAAACAAAATAAGCACTGCCAACAAATATCTCAATATTATGGGGAGGTGCTTCCTTGGAGATGTTTGTCCTTATTGGTAGCTTCACATATTCATAAGGCACATGTCTGAGTTCATGGTGGTAAGTGAATCTTTCCTTTTTACTGTCTGGTGGTTTCACCGTCTCCAGCATGTTCGCTCCATCAAGTTTCTTCAACTCTGACACTAATTCAAAGTTTGATTTCAAAGGGAAATCTTGCCCACACAGGTTGATAACATATTTCCATTGCACTGAAGACTTAAGAAGGTCTGACAAGCAATTTAAATCAGCTTGGAGCCTGGAAATGTGGGCATATTCCACAGCTTCTAATTTGGAAGCAATGAAAATATTGGAGAAGCACTTAGCTAAGTTGTTCATGGCAAATTTGAAGGTATCAGGTGATTTGTGGTCATAATGGATGCAATAGATATTGTGATGGTTGTATATAGCATGGATAAGCCTTTCAACCATAATGGCGTCTTTGTGAACAACCAAAGAATAGGCTATTGGGAATCTTTTCTCCTCCCTTGAAACAAGCTTTTGATGGTACCTTCTTATGGTCTGATAAACCTCACAATCACTCGTTATGGCCACAACATCTTCATCATCCAAGTCGATGATATCTCTTCTTCTTATTTCCAGACTCTTGCCAATTTCCAAAGGCTCCTGTTCATAGACACCTGAACAGTTAACTTCATATCTGCCCTCATATTTCACATGAGTATATCTGTTTCTTACAAAAGGTGAGGTACTTAAGGAGTATTCAACCAAATAAATGCCTCTTTGAGGGAAGAGGAGTCTTCTCACATTTAGAAGTTTTAATATGGAGAACAGCCATAGAGTTAAAAACAGGATGAAAACTTTTTGTTGTAGTGGGTATTTAAAACAACATTTGAACTTCTTCATTCTGTAAGAGGAGAAAGAAATAATTCAGTTGACATGTTATGAGAAAATCAGTTCACTGGGCACCTACCATATGCCAGGCACAATGCTTGGCTCCAATATGAATAAAACAAGGCTCTTGCTCTTGAAAGAACCCAGCAATAAGAAAATGGAAGTATGTAGAATGATAATATTTTGCTATGTTAATTAAACTTAATTTTGAGAGCATTGTTGCCAAAAAGAATGAAAAATAATGTAAACTAAAATAAGGCACTATATACCATTTGCACTTCTGCTTAGCGTATCTGGGGAGAGAGTGCTCTGGTTTGGCAGAGCTCTGGAGAATTAGATGTCATCAAGAGGTCCTCAGAGATGCTAATAGCCCACTTGAGGCCAAAAGGAATGTCCATCTTGAGTCCTCCTTTGGATCTTTTAGTCCAAGGCCTGAAGTTAGATGGGGAAAGCCTGGTGAACTACACTTTCAAAAATAAGAGTAGTGGGCACACACACAAAGGAGTTATGAAAAGGTATTACAAACTGTAAAAATTTGGACAGATTTTGAAACTTTGGTAAACATGCACATTTCCTATATTTTCCATTTTGTTAGCCCTCACAGAGATCTTCATAAGGATTAACAATTTAGCCCTTAAAATGAGGAGAATCTGACTTTGAGAGTAGGTAAAAATGTAAAAACTGTCTGGAGGTCTGATAGAGACCAGAGTAACCCCCTTCCCCAGACTATCACCCTAAGATATTGGCTTTTGTTCCAAAAGCCACTCCCAGAAGTCACCTTTCATCCAAACAACACATTGGCTTGTAAAATAAACCCTATTACCCGTGAGTACTGTGCTCCCTTACATAATCAATCATATGAGACCAAATGGTCAACATTTACCATAAAACAAAGATGAGAAGGTAAAGAGGGGCAGCAGGGAAGTTAGATTAATGGAAACAAAATGGAAATAATGAGAATGCTGACACATTGTGAAAAACATAACCAACAGCATGGAACAATTTGTATAAAAATGTTAAATGAGTCTCTAACTTGCTGTGTAAACTTCACCTAAAATGCAATAAAATATTATTACAAACAAAACAAAAAACTACCTGGAGGTGTAATTTGGTATATCTAACTGTTTTAAATACACCCACCATTTGACAAAGAACTTCACTTCTGAGAATGACCCTGAAGATCTTGTGTGTATGTAAAGACACTACAAAAAGGACATGAGGGGGACATCCTCTGACCTCAGGAAGGGGAGACAGATCACCATCAGCAGCCCAAGGCTGATTACTATAAGGTAGAAGTCAGATACACCACCATCCAAACTTTTTACCAATTCTGACACCTACCATCCTTCCCATGGCACTCTCTACTACTCTGTTGGCTTTCATAATTTGTTGCAATGGCCACACAGAACTCAAAGACAATACTCTCAATTATAGGTTTTGTTAGGGAAGTAACAGGTTACAATACAGGTTCAGGAACACTCAGGATACAATTCTTCAATCAGGACAGCCTCCCCTTGGCCATGGCCTCAGGCATGCCTCTCTTTGGGCCTTGCCCTCTTAGCCTGGCCTCTGCCATGCTAGGGCAAAGTGTTACAAAGATCTTTTAGCTCTGCTGATAGATGCACCTAGGTGCATCCACTCTGCTCCTAAGCCTCCTGCCCAAAGGCACTCAGCTTTCTCACTCAGTGGGCCGGCAAGCCTGTCACTTTGTCTTGTGCTGGTGTTTCAGTTCTGATGCCACTATGTCTCTGCTGGTCTCTCTGCCAATGAGGTCCAGTGCAGGGATCTTGGGTCCAAGGATGTGCTCTACTCTGGCTCTTCTCTACTTCTGGATCTTCTCACTCCTAAGGAACATTCTGGCTGTACTTCTACCGAGACAGAATTGTTAATTCTTCTATCAGTCCATGGTATATTCAATATTCTTTGCCAACACCATAATTCAAAGATATCAATTCTCCTTCAGTCTTCCTTATTCATTTTCCAGCTTTTGTGTGTATATGAGGAAAATTGAAAATACCATGGCTTGGGTCAGTCTCATCTTAGTCATCTAAGTGATATCTTTGCTCTTTAACACTTTAAAGTCTTTTACAACAAATTGGCCCAAAAGAACATGTTGTTTGACTTCTTGATAGCTGCTTCCTTGAGTGTTAATTATGGATCCAAGTGAAATGAAATCATTGGCAGAAGACTGCCACATCTCTCTTCCACGGATCTGCTGGTGGGTTGCAACTGACAACCTTTCACTTAGCACCTGATCTCTTAACCATTGTGCCACCAGGGCTCCCTATAATTAGGTTGTATCCAAAGTAAATTTTTACATTTTCTTTTCTCACTTTATTGATTGCAAAATCTCTAATTAGCATCAGTTAATAGTTCATATCTGACACCAAACAAAGAGGTTTACAAAGTCTTCCAGAGTTCTCCTGTCATTTATGATGTACTATTTAATTGTCATCATAAATGACAGCTGGAAGACTTTGCAAACCTCTTTAGAAAGTTAGAAATAAAGTAAATCACTTTTCCTTTTACAACTTGGTGTCAGATGTGAACCATTAACTTGTGTACTATTTAATTGTTGGAGCTGGTGGCATAGTGCCTAAGGCATTTGACTGCTATCCAGAGATTGGACAATCTACTTCCACAGAGATACCACCTCAGAAACCTAAGGAGGGGTCGCTATGAGTCAGAATCAACTTGATGGCAGTGAGTATTTACTTGTCGTCTTCATACCTACCTAAAAAGACAAAGACTACCTCCTTGATCCATTTCCAGAACCAAGATTTCCCAGACTCCTGTGCACTGATCCCCACTAATGCTTCTCACCTCTCCTTGAGAAGGGGTGGATTACATACATCCTGACTCCAAGTCTCGAGCTCATAGTCTGAGTTGAGCTAGGAGACATGGCTGCCTGCCCAGAGAGAAGGTCAAAGGGCACTGGGGGATGAGAGAGGTGGAGGCATGCAGTGACAATTCCTGTGAGAACTGGCTGTGCAGGCCCACATCTGAGTTTCTGAGGGCAGGGATGGCAGTTACATTAAAAAGAAGGTGAGGGAGATGGAACAATCTAGGTACATTGCCTTCTGATCCATTTTCTTCCATCCTGGGCATCTTCAAGGAGGGGAGCCTGCTGTGTTCAGGACAACTTTAGACATGGGGAAAGGAGCAGCACCCCCACCAGCCCTTCCCAAAGTAAAATAAAACTGTTCACCTGCTTACCATGGCAAGAAATTCCTTTAACTAAAAATTACTCCTTTCTCCAAGTTAGAAATAAAAAGGTATGAAGGTGCAAAACCTTTTGTTGTGAATAATGAGTTTTTTGTCAAGTCTTAAAAGTGGCTGTTGGCTACTTCCCAGCCGTGGTGGGAAGTCAGCAAGTTATTCTGGGCAATAACTGAGAAGGAAAAGTCAGGAGATCAGAGAAGACCTCAGCTCTGCTTTTCTCCAGCCAGAATCTTTGCAAACTGCTGGAAGTTTGTGTGACAGGCCTAGGTCCCTCACAGCTGGATCTGTACCCTGAGGGGGCAACAGGTAGGGAGTGAAGGGGGAGGTTGGAGTGGGAAGAGGTGGAAGTAGGGGAGCATGTTTCTGACATCAGGCAGGTGGGTAGGCACTGGACCTCTCTTTCCTTCCCACTTGCAGCCCAGTCTGTGCAAACCCCAGAGTTGCTGGGTTTGAAGGGATAGGAACCTGCTCCTGAGCTTTGACCCAGGTTTGACCAGAGTCTGCTCAGCTAAGGCTGGCAGTTACACTGGCCACATGGTTCCTAGGAGACCAGGGCAGCAATGCAACCTTCTACAAACACACCATGCTGCTCTTTCCCTCTTAAAGGCTTGTAGGCAGGAAGCAGGCAGGTGCTTTCATGCAGGAAGTAGTCTTACATTACAAATAATTTCCCATCCATGGGAGAAGGGGTAATTCCCCACCCACTTGCCCAGCTGACAAAGCAGTCCAACCTGTTACGGAGTTATGGACATATAGGTAAGAGTTCTTAATGATTACTGTAGAACTGGAAAAGAAAATGATAGCAAATCACTATAGCTCAGATGAAATAAGGTCTATTTGGAAATTCAGTAAAAGCTTACTCCTCACTAACTTCACAACAGGGATGTTGGATGAAACATTTCTCCCAAACCATCTTCTTTTCTTAATTCTCATAGGCATTGTTTGCAGGCTTAAAGGAAGCACAAAGTTACATGCCAGTTGAGTGGGTATAATTGAATTCAGGGTTAAATGGCTATAGCCATTTAGTCTCAACTAACTCATAAGTCAGCAATTTTAAAACTCAGGCCTATTACAGAAGAAAGATGCTTCCTTTCTCGGGGAAGGAGGGAGAATGTTAAATTAAGATGGAAGGAAGGGAAAGCAGGGGAAATAGATGGATAATTAAGAGACAGGTTTGATATGAGTGAAGGGATTTTTAAAAATAAGAAATAATATGATTTTTTAAAAAAGAAAGAAAGAAAATTAGCCATTAGTTGATATTTTTTGAAGCTAGGTTATGGTCACATGGGGGTTCATTATACTAGTCCTTGTTTCTGTTTGAAATGTTTTATAACACATTTTTGAAATAAAAATAAATGACGATTGGAAGGAAGGAGACAGGAGAAAAGCACTGAAAATGGTTTGTTGAGGTTGAGCACCAAGAATGAGGCCCCAGTTGTTCATGTTTGGAGATGACATGGGCTCTGTTACCTCTATTTCTGTCCCTCTTCAATTGTCCCTGCATACCTGCTATTCTTACCAGTAATTCATGCAGGTAGTGAGACACTGGGAAGAATGAAAAAGAAAGTGCCTGGACTTCAGGATGCCACACACCTGGATTTGAGTCCCTTGAGTAACACTTAGTATCTGTGTGACTTTGATCAAACTAGAAACCTCAGCTGAACCCCACTTTCCACTGACCTCAAAATGGGGATTAGCTAGCTGTGAGGGCTCAGAGAGCCCTTGTAAGATTAACATGCCTTTTCTCTCCTTCGTCTGTGCTCAGCTGGCCTGAATCTAAATCTTGTTTT